GGAGGTATAACAATTTGTTATGATAGAAAAAGTTACAGTTTTATTGGTGAAAAGTTGGTCAACAGCCTCCAGGTTATTAGCCACGATATCATGCAGCTGGCTATGTGATTTGGGTGATTGATATGTAATGCTTCCTCCACTATGATCACTACACCGGCTGGTAGACCGAGTCTCGTCACGCAAACGGAATTATTTTTGTATAATAATAGGGCTTTGAATAAAGCAAGAACAATTGTTTGTGCAGAATGAAGTGGTACCATCGTTTATTTCGCTGGCTTCTCATCAGCTGCCTACAACCTAAAGACATCATTAAGTTTATATAGAGAAGCAACATGCTCTTTGGTGCAATCAAAAGTCAAACCTTCTCATGTTAATTTCAACTGTGTATGCAAATTTGCACGTATCTGCGGGAGCAGTTACATTGGGATAGGAGAAAGAAGGCCACACTTGCAATTTTGTGAACATGTACTATAAGGCCCACGTCTCAATGGAACAAACCCTTTCAATAGCGCCATTGCCAGGCATCTCCTTGATGTGGGACATGAGGTGGACATATCAAAATACTGTGGAATTATCAATGGACAAAATAGTTTGCTGAAACAATTTCTGTCAAACGCCGGCAAACCGATTTATGTGCTCGGAAAGAAGCAGTTATCAGTCTTTCCTTGCCCTAGTAACTGAATGTCTTTATTACCTCTTTCATTCGATCGCGTTATCTTTGGAGTTAACCTGTTGTCTTTATTACGTAACTCCTTTACTACTGTATGCCTACACTAATTTTTTGTTTGAACTCATATTCCCTGTCAACTGACATCAAGTGAAAATTGCAATGTTAAAATTGTTTCTGTACACAAACTTAATATTTTTAGGCTGTAAGCAGCTGATGAGGAGCCAGCGAAATAAAAGATGGTACCACTTTATTCTGCACATACCATTGTTCTTGCTTAATTCAGTTTCATAAAGGGGAATAAATATATGAAGATAATAATATGGCAACAGATGAAATCAAGTGGAAATCCGAGTTATGACAGGATCGGACTTTTATGATTATCGTTGCTATGATCATTTCAAAACTTGATGACACCTTCTGAATGAATAACATTGAAATATTTCACAGAATATTAGTTATTATCAATGTTACCGTTTCAGCACAAAGTTGTATTAAGGTTGACAGTTGTATATGTACTTCAAATTTGTGTTGACAACAGCTTGAAGCAGTACTGACAGACTTATGCACATTGGTGACTAATATCCTACAGAGAGTGCAGGATATTCGAAACCGTAGGCTGGTTGACGGAAACCCTAAAGTACACATTAGTTCGATGCAGTGGAAATGTCAATCACTGGAATCATGAAAATAGTCTAAGGCATAATTTGTTTTCAAGTATTAATTTTGTAGGGATTTTTGTTTGATTGGTTGGAGGATTTGAACATGAGCTGACATCAGTTAGAGAACCATTGGAAAACCAGCTGGGAGTACTGGACAGATGTTTCGTCCTAGTTTGATACTCTTCAGCTGAGTGTTCAAATCTAATGGTTGTTACAGATAAGTAACACTCCTAAACTGTTAAATTTCTACTGAAAATACCAAGGTCTCTTTTGAACGAAGAAAGCTGTGATTATAAAATCAATTCTTATGCAAATGACAAGATCTTGGTGAAACTTTTATCCAACAAACAAACACTTCAACTTCCTAATATGATATCTTCTGTTTAAAAAACACAATCTCCAAACGCTGGCTACAAAGGTGGAATTTCTCACACGCTACGCTAATAAGATGTCTAAGTAACTCTAATAAACCAGTCAACTGGTCATTCAGCTTTCCGATAAATTTTGTATGCGCTAACAGTAAGTATGTAAGCATATAATTTAACATATAAACAATAGTTTACAGTCAGTAAATAGTCAGCCATTATCTTCTGAATCAGTACTCAAGTGTAGTTTTCAACAGTGTTTACTTCGTACATCCTGTTCACTATCTCATATTGATTGTGTCGATTTAAGTGAATGTAACTAGACGTCATATACCAACTGAAGATTATGATAATACGATCTAACGACAAAGCCATGGGAAAACATGAAGTTTATTGTTAGTATTCGCTTAGAAAGCGAACCCACTTACATCAGTCATAGTCGAGTGTACAACTGTATATTGGATGAAGATCTCATATACATATGTAGTCTAAAGTAGTTATATCTTATTGATTAGATTTCCGCCTCGAACCGTTATTACACTAGTGAAATAAAAAGTGCTTTAGTCCACTGTATGTTCGAATATTTTCATACACACTGGTAGCAACAACCAATGCACTAACCAGTAGTAATGAATGTTTAATTTCTTCGGGATAATTAACAGTTACAAGCAGTATAATACAAAATACTTTCCAGAACTTTAAATAATTAATGATTATTGACAGTTTTTCACCAACTAACAACAGCAGCAGCAACATCCAACGCCAATCACCATCAACGGGAGGGATTTGAAGGAGGTCACTTCATTCACTTATCTAGGGAGCATTGTCTCAACTACAGGAGGAACGGACGAAGATGGCAAATCGAGAATCGGAAAGGCAAGAAACACATTCATCAACCTGAAACCAATCTAGAAATTAGAAATCTTCATCACTCAGCATCAACAACAAAATTCGGATTTTCAATACAAATGTCAAGTCAGCCAGTTCTTCTATACGGATCAGAAACTTGACCAGCAGGTCACAAAGAATATTTCCAACAGCCTGTTGCAGACCTTTATCAACAACTGTCTTCGCTCTGTACTGAAGATCAGATGGCCGGAAAGAATCACCAACAAGAAATTATGGGAACAAACAAAACAAGAACCAATCGTCCAACAAATATGCAGGAGAAAGTGGAGATGGATTGGACACTCGCTGAGGAGGCCACTGGGTGACATCGCGCATCAGGCCATAGCTCGAGTGGAACCCGAAAGGGAAGCGGCGAGTGGTTCGTCGGTGCAAGGGTGACATGGAGGAGATCGTGTGAAGAGGAGTTGAAACAGCATGGACTAACATGGATGGATGCAAGTGAAAAGTACAGCAGGAGACAGAAGCAAGTGGAGACGTGCAGTTGAAGCCCTTTGTTCCACTAGGAACCCAAGGGAACAATAATAATAATAATAACACAGTTTTTCATATCTGTGTCTGTTGTTCTCTAAAAGCTAAATTCAGCTCACTAAATAAATAAATTTGAGCGAATTCCTTATTGAATTTTGTTTATTAAGAAAACTGACCGAGATTGATGTGAACAAGTGCATACTTTTCGTGTCTAGACAATTGTAAACCTCAAGTTTAGATCACACACACACACCACACACACACATCAATGTCAAACTTTCCAATTAACAAAGAGGAACAAACAAAAAAATACACGTGCATAATAAAAGTGACTGAGATCAACCTCACTGTAATAAACTTCTGATTAGTCTTATGATATAGGAGCACTTCTTTGTTATACCAGTTACCTTTGAAACAAGTCCGAGTTGAATATTATTTCTAAAAACGGATAAATTATACTACAGCAGAGCTGTTTCGACTTTGAATAAAACAATAAAAAAATCCTGTAAGCAAAATGTATAATTTACACTTCGGAAACCTACGGCAACTTGAACTAATTCTACGTTTTTTTAAACTGTTTCCAAGCAGACAAAAAAAAATAATAATAATAAAACTACTCGAATCTTTAATTTACACTTTCTTTGGTTTCTAATCTAAATTCAACAGACAGGCACTAACAGCATTGGACTTAGTACATCTTATACGCTGATAAGCATTGAAGTTACTAAAACAGAAGTTTAAAGTAAGATGACGATAATTAAAGTTTAAAAAAAGCTAGAATGGGAAGACATGATAACATGAACTATTTTGTAATAGGGTGCTCAGGTCGACTACGAGACATAGAACTTATTTCGTCGGTTCTAACTGAATTACATCCTGATTTGACATGTCATCACATCGTTTGTTGTGAAAATAGCGACTATAGTAGCGAGTTATAAGTTATATAGGCTACTGGTCAACTGCACTTTTGACTGGTGGATCTATGTAGGATTTTGCATAGAGGTGCATCATGTATGGAATCAGCATAAGAGGAGAGAATAATCTACAGGATGTCGAAGTTGTTAAAGCATTTGCTCTGCACCACCAAGGGACTCTAGTCACTGATATTTTTAGTAACTAGGATACTCTATAAATCATACCTCGATGATATATCATCCAGTCTCTGTGTGATTACATTAGAAACGATGATCTCCGAACTCTTAGTTTAGAAAGGAACATCAAATTAGAAGTGAAACTAAAAGCCAGAATGTCAGTCTATTAACTAACCAGTGTATGAAAATCTCATATAATTCAATCAAACTAATCTGGATTCTTTATTATTCCAGTTTGTAGTGAAAGTTGAAAATATCGAAAAGACATCTATCTATGGTTCATAAGTTAGTTGAAAATGAAGAAACCTAAGTAGGTTCAAAACCATGATGGAGTACTAATGATAGGGGAAGAATGCCCGCCAGTCAGGTTTCGCTTCCTGCCTAATGCACTCCCGAACCTCGCATAGAAAGTAATAAGCCCGGGAAAGGGAGTAGGTTGGGCGTGAGACTAGCAACCCCGTCCCATAAAAATAACACAAACGCTAGTGAAACTTCAAAGCCTAAAGTTTGAAGCCCGTTCCACCCCGAACGCAAAGGAATGAGGAAAAAGTAGGAAATTTACAGTTCAGTAGATTCCAGAAAAAAAACAGTAACAGCTTTATTCTGAACACAATGTTTAATATAATGTACAGAATTTTCAGCGGTTTATAGCATGATATTTTCTCTTCGTCCAGGCTCTTCAAAAAAAAGATTAACACTGACAGCAGATAGTGTGACATAGTTCTGTCAGACCTGAAGTGGAAACCAAAACCATTACGACGATATCTCTTCTTTTTCTTTTTCGAGAAATAAATCACTTCTTGTTGAATGCCAATTATAGAAAGTTCAGGAGTACATATTGTGAACTAAAGACACCACTCAGGAACAGTCATCTCATGTACTACGATAAGCTGCCATCGAGACTAATGCTTTTGCATATTTTTAGTAGAAACTTGCAATCCACCAGGCTGTAAATGTTTTAAATACCCTCCAGAGTAAACAATACAATTAGAGGTCATATTTTACCAGATTTAAACAAATCGAATAAGAGAAATTATATGCAATACATAGATGGAAGTTTACAGTAGCTCAGATTTTAAGCAGACCAACAACATCTTTCAGGCACCTCACATACATTTACCTGATGGCACCCTGAGAGAGATATGATAGTTCCTACAAAACTGGCAAATACCATTTCTATTCAGTTTTACTACAGATTTACTGATGCAGGTAACTCAGAAAAGCCTCCAAGGAAACGGTAAAATATAAACAGTTAACAAAAAAAACTGTGAGTTAGTTAGTCTTCATTGTAAGTGTATGAATAATGAAGGCCGTTTTTTAATATTCATTTCGAGATTCGTCACTTAAATGCTTTGATATTGATGGGCATAAAGATCCTGGAGAAAATACCGAAGTTTACGACTACTGCCTCGTTTTCTTTCAATGACTCCAATTAGCAGATTTGACAACGTAAACGATAGGAACTGAAAGAAAGACCATATCGCTAAGATTCGAGGTAGTAACCTCCGGTTATGGAACTGATATCTTTTTTTTAAAACTATACGTGGTAATGATTTTTTATACTTTCATTCTTCTTGAATGTAGTATACACGTGCATGGCATATAACTAATGCACATACACATGCATACAGAGACAATGCTAAATGAAATAAGTATAATAATAATAATGAGTGAAATCAAATAAAACTGTAGGTCATAAAACAGATATTTCATTGTGATAAGCTAAATAGAGAAAATCAATAGCCCAGTCATAAGCCTACCCATCCATCCACTAAACTAAGTTAGACTAGTATAGCTAACATATTCGACTTTAAATGTCATGTGTGCATAAATGACTCGCAGTTTGTATACGCACGTGCACACGCACACACACACACACAGGAAACTGACGCACGCAAATTGTACATACACAAACATATACACTGTAGATAAAAGTTAAACATCGTTTACATACCTGATAGGCATCCATTCACCAAAAATATACAGCGATTTTGGCATCCTAAGTAAGCAACTGAATAAGGATAGAAATTTGAAATAAACATTGAAGTAAAAAAAAGAGGAATAGATTAGCGAGTGGACAACTACATGTATTAGGCAAATCATCATTCTAACTATAACTATATGATTATCATTATCGGTCAGAATTAGAAAAAGCCTTCAGCTATATTTATAATAGTTAACACGTACTGAAAAATAAAGCACGTTTCTATTGGTGGACCCTTTGCAAGTTTACATGCCGGTAAATCACATTAAACACATTTTACCGGTCAACGACGTATGTCCTGGGTACAAAACAGATATTCAGACACCTGAATCGACTATCAATACGGCTCATATGTTCACTGATGTAATTTTAAATAAATTTAATTAAATGCAATAATTCCGAGAAAATTTACGTGGGCATGGATCTCAGATTTGGAAGACGTACGCTCACAGTTACCAGTTCAACACGTCTGCATTGTACAGCTGTTCACTATCCAAAGGGACTGACTGACTGATAAATATTTGCTACTTGACACCATCCACTTTTGAACAATGCACTGTCTAACAACGAATACTTGTTTGCACATATAATCGCAAGACAAACCTAACGATTCAACTTGCCCTTAAGCTTATCGATCAACTTTGATAAAAAGTTAACTTCTATAAAAATGAGTGACTGATAAAACGAATTTATGGAATGCGCGTTGAATCACTACGACATTAAACGCTTGATTGAGACAGATTACGCAATAACAAAAAATGAACACAGTTACACTCTTTTGTATTGTTTTTTTTACTTGGAAGCAGTCCAAAAACCATGGTGATTACAGAATAAGGACACAAATTACATCGTAGGCTGAGTGATATATATATATATATATATATATATATATCATACAAAATCAAAGTAACGTCACTCCAAATGCTAATTTCTTAGAATAGGAAATCAATCGATAATTTCTAACATTGTTAAGCAAAAAAAACTGTAACATTTTGTCAATTAGAAATTCCAAAAAAAAAACAAGCAACAATTAATTAAATACCCTCCTATAGTAGAACTGTTAGTTATGCATCTTAAATCTCGTCTCAATAAGTAGGAAATTTTAATAAAAAGAAGACATTTGGAACTATCAGCTGACGAGAGACCATAAAGCAACACATATCTCTAATATATATATGAACATTGTAAACACACGCAAACACAAAATGATTCACTCATAAAATCAATAAGGCGAGATTTTAGGTTACACAAAAAATTTGTAAAGCTTAATCTGAAAGACAATGGAGTAATATTATTTAAATATTACTGTTCATATTCCAAATAGTTCAATATGCCATTCACAATATATATGTCATCATATTACACAGAAAGAAGTAAGCTAAAAACGTAGAAAAAAATTAAGTCAAGAACGTAAATTGCGCGCTCCGCTTATTGATTAAAACTGTTGTAAAAAAAATTTAAAAGAACCATAGTAAATATATCAGTTAGCCAATAACAGAAGCAAAAAAAAAAGCGACCAACAATCTTAAACGGGACAGTAGCAGGTAATAGTTGTAATAATAATAATAACAATAATAATAATAGGAATAAGTTATTAGCCTACTTTAGAATTAATTTTAAAAAATAAGTACCTTTTGCAATAAGATGTAATTCCATTCCTTTGAATATGCGCAGAAGTGAAACGTTAGTAGTACTGTAGGCGTAGGCTTTATCATCAAATTATAGATCTGGTTTTTGTTTTTGCCTAATAACTGGGAGTGAATACATATATAAGAAAATTATTCGCTTGCACCAGTCAAACGATGAAATAGGCGTTCATTAACTTCTTGACTCTTTTCTAAATTCCGCTGACTAAGAAATACATAACCACCGATAAATTCTACAATTGTTTTACAATTTGTTGATAGCGGTCGAAATGAAACTTGTGAATTACGAAATTCTAGGATTACTTTTTCTGCGTCCCAATTAACATTCCATGAACGTAAATCAGCGAAATTCCATGTCAGCAAAATTTCCCCTGTCTGTGGAGAGACCACTTCAATACGGCCCTGACAAATAGCGATCATATCATCCATTGGCGTACTAAATAATCCTCCGCTATTTGCATTTGGCAATCCTAATGACCCACGTTCAAATTGTACAATGAAATAACTTCGACCAAATCCTGTCAACCTTTGCCATGTTTGGACATACTTGTGTTTAGCTTCCAGTAGACCAAGATCACGGATGTTTACATGAGCTTCGGTAATACGCTGGCGTAAAGCATCTTTAGAACGTGCCTTCCGAATAATACGGTCGTTGCAGAAATCTGTTAAATCACCTAAATAAGCCGTAGATTCTGAAAGTGACATAGCTGGCGATGGCCCAGGCATCTGGAGTTTTAAAAGTTCCAATGTGGCCTCAACCTCTTTATTATAGACCAATTTGCTGGCTAGTGTTTTTCCCCGTGAACCCAAACGGCATGCAGCCAACCAACAGGCGTATTGTTCAGCAGAGTCAAATTTCAACCATATTTCTTCACGTACAGAACAGAGTTCTTTAGGAAGTGTTGACTGTTGCAATGGACTGTTAATTGGAGATCCATTACTCAACTTTTGATCCAACATTGGAAAGACTGATAACTTGATAATGTATTTCTGATGAGCAACATTTACATCAGGATTAACTGTACAGTCACGCAGTGAATATTCAGCCAAAAACTCCTGTGTTTGTGTTTTATTTCTGTACAAATACAATCGAGCTTCTTTGATCACAACCCAGTACGCCTTGTAACGTTTTAAGAGTAAAGAACGATCTCTGAATACTTTGATTGCACCCTCAAGACTCGGCACTTCAGAGGTGTCTGTCATGTCACGACTAGCTGGACGTATTACATTCTGCAAAGCACGGGATACTGGTTCTGAATCTTCTGTAACACCACATGATTGTTCTAATTCTGAAAGGAGTTCATCTACTTCGTCTACACCACTCATATTATGTGCATTAATTGATGCTCCATCTGCAAAAGTTGAACCCATTGGTGATACAGAAGTCCGGAGAAACTGTGGTAGTGTTCCTGTTGCAGGACCATAGTAAGGGGAATAATGTTTTTTTGCCAAGTCAGGACTTGAAGTTGCATGCACAGGACTGCGATTTATATAATTAGAACTTACTGTGCTGCAGACACCCAAAGTTGAATAAGGATTTGTACTATTGATATCAGGGAAGTTTGCAGTGCATAAAGCCTGATTGACAGCAGCGGACTGTAATTCAGCTTGCAGCTGATATGCAGCAAAAACAACCATCTCATCTTCTGTACAATCAAACTGACCAGACAAAAGAGACCATCGAGCTTGTTCATAAAGCTGGTGAATTCGTACTGAGTCATACTTTAAAATAAGATCGTAAAATGTATAATATTTGAAACAAAGGTACAAAGTTGGTGGGCTACACTGTTCTTGGCCATCACAGTCCACCGGTGATGGTTTAATTCCCTGTTCCAAAAGTGATCTTGACGAATCTAACCATCCACTATTCAGGCGTGCTTTTTGAACTAAATTCTTGGGCTTCATCAACCAGCTATCAGCGAACACTGCTTTGGCAGAACGTCTTAGTGAACAATCAGCATAACGAGCGAAATCTAGACGTTCTTGGTCTAAGGAATTATCGGATTTAAATCGCATCATTGTACCGGCATTCGAAGCTAAAGTGTTATATGGATTCATCTGTTGTCCATCCATTGTTGGATAACCTGATGTTGGAGGAGAATGGACTTTAGACTTTGCAGATGACTGATCGTTTCTTGAATTGGGTAAGTTTGTACCTGGACGTCTTAATCCTGGGCGAATAGTTGGTAATGGACAATTTGTTTTGAGCATATTTTTGGTAATAGGTAATGTTAGCGATAATTCTTCCGAATGTCGAATGTTTAATTCTTTACATATATCACGAACTACAGTGAATAATCTGGAAGCATAATTGACACGTAGTACAAGAGAAGTTAAGGAAGGTAAAACAATTTGCAGATCATTGTGCATACGACGAAACATTAATTTGGCATCTGACTGAATTCCGTACTGATCCAGAGTTGTACGGCTATGAAGAAGCCAAATATTTCTATCAATCCACCATATAGCATGATCTGACCAACTTTGTTGTAACTTGACTTTTTCAACAATCCTATGCATTAAACCACCAAGAGGTAGGTCGCCTAACACTCGTACTGAAACATTAGAACCCAAGTCTTCGACAAAAACAGATAATTCCCATGATCCATCAATGTAATTCCCATCAACAACCATGCGGCTAATGGTCTCAGTTCCATTAAAGGCATGGATAGCCCCATTATGAGCACTAAATGGGTCGTAAGCAGACATTAGTTAAGGGTAATCCAGAAACTCCGTCACATGCGTTTGTAGAATTACGTTGGCAGCACAACTATGTATTTTCTAAAACCTCACAATAATACTAGTCTGTCTCTAAAGCTCATTTTTAACGCCTACCTGATGCGTCATCTACTATTGGCCAACCCGGTCTGACTACACGAAACAGTGCTTGAAAGACACAATAAGCTAACAGTCTGAAACAAAGCATGAATTTTGTTCACCTGATGCTAGTTACGAATTTAAACCAATCAGCAAATAGATCACGTGACAAATCGCCCACGCCTACTATATTCTTTTCTCTCACCCTAAGAGCCAACCAAATATCTACAATAACAAAATAGCTGTGATATGGCTGAATCTTCAGTTTGTTTCTAGCCTCGTACTCTTTTGGCTTGTGTGTATCATCTAGTGTTTTTAATTTTTTTTGCCTTAATTTTTCTGGAACAATCCTGATGAATAAATCCACCACTTGTAACAATGAACATTTGAAAACTGCTTTATTTCGTTACCTGTTAAAAACAAAACTTAAAAGGACTCGTGAAGAGACCCATGTACTAAAGATGATATAATTTTTCAGCGTACAAGTCTTACAGGAATATGCTTCTACATGCGAAGTGAATAGTTTTCTGTAAATGCATTTTAGTTCCTAAAACAGCATCCAAATGAATTCATTATGGAACTGATGAAAACGAGTAATTTGCTTAATCAGTTGTGCAGTTCATTACACATTGTACAACTATATTATCTGATCCTCTGCCTTTTTATCCCCCTGTTTAGCCTGCTATAGATTGCTGCACTCTATTTAGTTTGTCCGTATTTTTAAGGAAGGTTAACTTGTAACGTGACTTCAGTGTAACAGTTTTAACAGATACAGTGGTCTAGTAGCCAACATAGAAAGTGAATCATATTTTTAAGTTAATTGCATAAAATCTGCTAGTATCTTTTTGCAGAAATGTATTTTCTCTTCTCATATCTAGTCACTGGACCATGTATAGTAACTTTCTTTAAGGCAGGAGGTAGATGCTTGGTATTTGTATGTTCTAGAGACCTGAACTCATGGTGTACTCAACAATTAGCTACTTGAAATAGATGTAACACTCCTAGCGTCTTATTGAAAGTATGAATAGCAGTATCACAGAAATCCAGGTTTTCAGGACGGCTGAGTGTCTTAGTTTTTGTGGCTTCCTTCTTTTTCCATTCTACAACTGCTTAATTGCATGTTGTAGTATAGTCTGAATAAAATGGAAAAAAAGCAATCCATACCTGTCCTGGCTAGTGAAATCCTAGGAATATATATATATTTCCTTCACATTCCCCAGGGGAACATAGGGCTTCAAGCTATTGGCTTGAAGTTTCTGTAGCAGTGTTTATTTTACAGGATGGGGTTGCTAGCCTCATGCCCAACCTTTCCTCTTTACCAGCATTATTTCTGGCTTAGCGAGGTAAAGGAGTGAGTTGGCCGGGGATCGAACCCCGGACCATGTGCATGGTCAGCGAGCGTCCTAACCGCTATGCCACCGACACAATGTGAAATCCTAGGAATAAATGGATGTTAATAGACGGATTATGATCGTCAATGAAAAAGATGAAGTCTAAATTCTTGCTAGTGCACAAGATTTTACTTTCTGTAGAGGCGCACACTTCGCCGGAGTAAACGCCATTATATCCATTAATGGTACATACTGTTTGCATGGGTGGAAAGTAAGTTGGCAACTTTTCTACTAAGATGGCCACAGGGAAATTTCTAGCATACACATAAATAAAAAGAGTAATAATATGCTGCTAAATAATTCTCAACTTCAGTTCTGACCACCAAAACGATAGGGGCTGGATTCGAGTCTTAGTTGAGAAAACACCACTTATTGGAATACCGATGCATCCAACTGATGAGCTACACACAGCAAAAATATGCATCATGGAGACCACCACCTTTCAAATACCATTTGGTTCTAGTTAACTTTTCATTTGTATGAATATAGCCTTGAAAAACCGTGTTGTTTATCAACTGCTATCAAAAATGTGATACACTACACACCATTTTTTTTGTACCCTCTACTAATTTAGTGCAGGATAGACTGGGCACTCAGTCATTCATGATTCATATTTGTATGAAGTCAGACAGACTAAAAAAAGGGAACATAAATAATATGTGTCTTACTTAATTCACCAATTACGTGTCCGCTGGAGAATAGAAGTGAAGAGAGGATATTCTTTGGAAAATCTCTGTCTATTGTTGATGGCATCATTTTTGTGTTGGTTGTAAAAAGTAACTAAAGGCATATTTTAACATGCATAAGGGTTTTGCTAGTACTGTTCGATCGTCGAAGATAAAATTTATCTGACACAAATATGATAGTCTCCAAAGTCCGACAAAGTTTGCCGAAAGGCACGCAAGTGCACTTGCTTTGTATAGCATAACATAAAGCCAGAACTTTTTGTACGATCACTTTCGTTACCATAGTCTTGATTTTACTAAGTAATTCACATAACAACTTTGTTATCTATTTTTATTCCATGTTCCATTTTTGTTTTATTTCATTTTACTTTATGTTATCATATTCTAGTCTAGTACTTTAACAACATTTCACTCATCCTATGCTTCCATCATAATTATATCCACATTTCCGAATGTACTTTATTTTCTGATCATCTATTTCACGCATGTTTATTGAACTTTAGGTTGACCTCTATCTATTTATTTGGTTATTCATTCATATTTCTGATCAATTGTGACTCATGATTCTATACACCAACATTATCGCATTTAATTATTTCCATTTACTGTTAAACTTTAGGACACACACACACACACGCAAGAGAACTGATTGTTTAAGTGGTGGATTGTGACTCGCAGTGGAATCCAGGATGCGCATTTCTTCCGATTTAGGCCTTATCAACTGGATGTGCTTGCATTCCCCAGTATATATATATATATATATATATATATATATATATATGGCTGTACAGCTATGGAAATGAAATCGTCGAAAAGAGAATTTTCTTTGCTGAATGCTTTGTTTTAAATGTGGTAGATTAAGAAAAGAAAAGGTTAATCTTTAGCGACAAACTTAGTATGAGCTGAAAAAAAAGAAATACAAAGTTATCCAGATAAGGGGACAGGTGTATTTCTAATGGATCAATCCGAGGGCGTCTATAAAGTGAGTTCTTTCCTGAAGGATCAAATTTAGAAACAGAAATGTAGGGAGTCAGCTCACCTGACTTGGCTTTTAATCATCATCATCATCTCTCGTATAAAAGGGGTTGTATCTGTTTTGAAGGTTCATAAATCAATGAATCCATTTTGATCAGGACAGTACAAGTACTTAAAGTGAAAGGAAACATGTTAGGTCTTGCAAACAGAAAATCAGTGAGCAGTAGCTTTCTTTGAACTTTCCTATAACAGACTACGTTAACGTACAGTTTAACACAAAATATATGTGTTTAAGCATTTTGAAACAATTTTAAAATCTGCGTAATCTTGGTTTTAGTTGAGCATAAATTTTGTACTATAATTTCCTTGATAGTGGTAATAATACATCACGTATGACAGTATATCACTGAAAAGAAGTTATTGTAGAGCAGGAAACCAGTGAAATATGCAGTAAATGAAATCAAAATTACAAATGACTACTCATAGACATCAGTGACTGGACTATGTCCTGAGATTCTGTTGAAGTTAAAGATCCTAGGCTTGATCAAGTTTATGACTGAGATTATGCATATCTTACAGATCCTAAATTCTGATGTAATTACTACTCAGTACACCTTGGTTCCTCAGCTGCTGATCTTTCCTGGCGATTTCTAAGAAAATATTCCGCCTCACCTTCTACATCAAGAAGTTAAAATATTTTGGTATAACCCAACCCTTACTCCTACAATTCCTTAATTCTCGCATTCTGTCTATTATTCTCTATTGTTCCCCCTTAGTTTTTCCAGGGCTACTGAAGAAAGACTATAACATATTACGCAGGATGTTAAAGGTTGTCAGCAGGGTAAGCAACGTGCCACTTAACCAGCTTGTTAATATTCTGGTTGACAGGCACATGGACTCATGTGAAAAATGGGCCAAATCCATTTTATCTAACTCACATCTCCCCCCTTGCATCTCATCAGGTAAAACCAGAAGCCTATATAGAAAACTATATGCTCGCACCAGCAAGTACAAGAACTCAACCATACCATACTTAGCTCGTGTTCTGTGCGATAAGGAAAGCATTAGGCGTGATACCTATAATTCATTAAATAGTCAGTAGAACAACTGGAACTCGTCTTTCCAACTCATATCATTTATAGGTACAACATTTTCTTTCTTTCTTTTCCTTTTCTCTCTCTCTCTCTCTCCTTTTTCCGTTATGTGCTGCTTTGTTTCTTTCTCTCGCTTACGCCATTAAATATGACAGCTCCTACTTTTCTAACACCTTCAAACACTGTCCAGCTTTAACTTTGCTACCGACATGCCAATATGTTGTTATCATAATGAACTGAGATTTCCTTAATCTATGTAGAATTCTGTTTATTGATAATGTACTAACTGGATGCAATACTGTAGTAAAAATGCTGAGAATTCCATTCTGTATCACATGTACTGTTTTGGAATAAAGCAAATTATTATTATTATTTAAAGTAAGATTTAGCTATGCATACTCCTTAGTCTATTGGATAATGGTTTGTAGTTCGAAACGATGGGTACATTCAGATGACAAGTGATAACTAAGAAGAAATGCGCATGAAAGATACGACTAATAGCCATACACAAAAATGTGTACCTGAACTTATTTTAACAACCTAGAGATTGGGCTAAATCAATCAGCTCAGGGGACACAACCATTTCACTATCACACGCAAATGATGAAAAGAATTTAAATTTTCGAAATTAGTTCTTAAAATATTAATAGTAAAGGAATGTGATTTATGCATTAAAAAGTCAATATTTTTATCGTGTGAATTGGTTGAAAGACCTTGAGTTTGCATTTTTCATACATGTGATGACAAGTAGGCCATGTGAGGAGATTCAAAATGCTAAATTGATATGCAGAAAGGTATACCTCAAGTTTAAATGACTAAGGCAATAATTTACAAAATACAAGTATATTTTAAAAAATATCTATCTATTCACTAATCACTTAATCTTAGGCAACAGTCAAATGATTTGATGTG